AAAAAAAAAAAAAAAAAAAAAAAGATTATCCCTTAAATTGACTATTTCCATGTAAGACAAAGCCAAACGAACACTAATTTTTTTTCAATTTTTATTTATTATTTTTTAAAATTTTTTTTGGCAATTTAACAAATTCTATCCCCAATTGTAAGAAATTGTATCCCTTTAATTGACAATTTTCATGAAAAACAAAGCCAAACGGACCAGGTGGAAAATTATACTAATCAAACATAATTAATTACAATTTGCAGTAAAACAAATTTTAGGCAATTCAATTCCCTATAAAATATTTTCTTTCCACCCATTTTTCACATTTGCAATCAAAAGGACCATAAGTTATCATGAAGGAAATTCTTACTATTCTACAAAATAAGTAACTAACCAATTTGACTATTTTTATTTAGGGTAATTAGCACATAACGTCCCCATCTTTCATTGTTATTGTGGAAAATGTCCATACATTTCATTTTTTGACATTTTTACCCTTATTTCCATCTTTCATTGCCAAAAATGTCATTTTCATCCATTTTTCTCAATTAAAAATTGTGAAATGATGAAAATACTATTTCCTTTAAATAAAATAAAAGGCAAAAAGAAATAAAACTATTTGCAATTATAGTCCCAATTTTTTAAAAAGTGCAAATGACTCCCAAATAAATTATTAAAATGGTAATTAGTACACAATGTCCATATCTTTCACCTTTATTGCGAAAAACGTCCATACCTTTCATTTTTTGGTATTTTCATCCTTAATTACACATTTGATCGTGCAAATCATCATTTCCATCCAATTTCTCAATAAATAACTGTGAAATAATGAATATATTCTCATATTTAAATAAAAATATATATTTTTAAATTTTTAATAATTTATTTGGGACTCGTTTACACTTTTTAATTTTTTTAAATTTTTCAAAATTTTAAATAAATTTAATTGGGACTCGTTTGCACTTTTTAAAAAAGTTGGGACTATGATTGCAATTTATTCTTTAGTTTTTTTATTTAAATAGGAGGGTATATTCGTCATTTCATTGTTTTTTATTGAGAAATTGGATGAAAATGGATAGAAATGATGGTTTACGCTATCAAATTTATAATTAAGGGAGAAAATGCTAAAAAAAAGGGAAATTATAAAAAATCATGTGTATATTTTACACCAATTCAAAAATCAAGTTGAAAGTTTAATTATTCAAAAATCACGTATTTTATTTTATATATCAAACCATAAATCTATCCAGACCCTAAAATAATCAATTTCTCTCAAGTCTCACACTCTCACCATTTCACTCCACTCTCCACCGCCTCCACCTGCTTCTCCTCCCTCCCTAGCAGTGTCGAGGCGCTGCTGTGAACGCGCTGCTGCCGTTCACAGCAGCGTCACGACGCTGGAAGCAACGCTGAGCCTCCACCGCCCGCTGCCTCCACTTGTTTCTCCTACCTTCTCCCATCCCCTCCCCCTCTCCCTCTCTCTAGCAGCGTCGAGGTGCTGCTGATGTTCACAGCGCGTCGCGACCTTCACAATAGTGTCTCGACGTTGCTGGTGTGTGGGTTGGCTATGTTGGTGGATGGTTGTGGGTGTGTGGGTTGGCTGTGTTGGTGGATGGTCTGTGGGTGTTGGGCACATCTGTCGTTGTTGTGTGGCTGTGTTGGTGGATCTGTTTGTTGGTGGTTTTGTGCTGATCTGTGGTGGTTTGGGTGGTGTTGTAGTGTGTGCGGTGGTGGTGTTGTTGCGTTGTGGTGATGTTGGTGTTGCAAATGGCAGTGGTGATGTGGTGATTGTTGGCAGTGACTTTGTTGTTGGTAGTGTTGTAGTACTGTGGCGGGTTATGGTGGTTGCAAGTGGTTGTAGTGGTAGTGTTGGTGACGGTAGTATGTGACATACTATTTGATGGTATATGACCAAATATTTGGTAATCTGTGACTAGTTACTCAACTGTGACCTAAAAATTTAATAATATGTGACTCAAAAATAATATGTGTGACCGACAAATAAACTGTGACTAATTAATTTAATAATATGTGACCAATAAATAAATTGTGACCTATAATTATGTATCTGTAATCTTTAATTGTATAACTGTGACTTTATTTTATTTAATTAATAATATATATACCTGAATTTTGAATTTTCAAATTATAAACCTGATTAGTGAATTGGTGTAAACTATATACCTAATTTATGATTTTTTTTCCCCCCAAAAAATAAAATGTATGGATTTTTTTTTTGCAATAATAGTGAAATGTATGGACATTATGCGCTAATTACCCTTTTAATAATTTATTTGGAACTCATTTGCACTTTTCAAAAAAGTTGGGACTATATTTACAATTAATTTTTTTCCTTTGTTTTATTCAAAGGGAATGTTATTTTAGTCATTTCACAATTTTTAATTGAGAAAATTGATTAAAAAAAAAAAAAAGACCTTCTACACAATGAAAGGTGAAAATAAGAATGAAAATGTCAAAAAATGAAAGGTAAGAACGTTTTTCACAATAACAATGGAGGGTGGAGATGTTATATGCTAATTACGCTTTTATTTACAAGGGAACTTATTTATAAGTAAACATTTTTAGTCTTAGACAAACATGATCTAAATTTACGCACTGATGGAATTTTCTTACTTGACCTGTTCAGCATCAACGTCACTAAAATGTGTGAGACCGATGAGTTTTATGACGACCTTTTTCGTGATAGTTTATTTCTTCCATGTTTCTACACCTCTCGTAAAGGCTTTGATGTTCCTGTAATTACCATATGAAGTAAAATAGTTGCACAAAAGTAGGATTCATAAAATAAAATAAAATAAACCTGAAATATAACCAAGTAGTACTTATGAAGATAATGATTAAAAGAAAGGTTACCATCCAATCGACAAATAACACATTTAAAGCAACTTCAATAATGCCTAGCATAGGCATTGGTTGTGTTAGGATTAATTAACAAATCTCAATACTCTTGCACTAGAGGCATTTAATATCACTAACAAAATTGACAGTATATAGTAGTGTATTTCCTCAATTTAAGGGATATGTATATATGGTTAGACACATGTCACTAGTAGATAGGAAAATCAAGAATATTCTCTTTGCATGTAAAATGTGTGTATTGCAATTCAGTGTATAAATAGAGAAGGCAAAGAGAAGCAAATTGAGCTAAAAAAATCCAAAGAAGCTGAGTTTTGTAGTATTTTTTTTTCTTTTCTAACTTGATATTAGAGCTCTAATGGCTAACATCGATTCACGAAGACAAACTCTTCCAAGTAAGTCAAGTACTGTAGCAACCATTCAATCTCTTACAAATTAGACCTTACCTTTTGGGATGAACCTCATTCAGACTCCTTCAGTGAAGCTAGATAGAAATAACTTTCTGCTTTGGCAAAACATAGTTATGCCCATGATTAGAGGACACAACCTTGAAGGATATCTGCAGAGAACAAAGCCATGTCCACTAGAGTTTCTAGAAACTTAAATTGTTACTAAAGAGGGAGAAAGCATAGAAATGATTCAAAATCTTGATTACAGTAAATGGGTTTCAACTGATTTCTATTAATGGAATGGTTGTATTCATCCATGACCCCTGAAATTGCAATGAGAGTGATGGTGTGCACTAGCTCAAGTAAGCTATGGAGTGTAG